CTCGCCTACATCGTCCATATAGGACGACTCGGGAACTCAACTCCTACCCCGGGCAGCTCACCTATCCCCTTATGCCCAGGGGAAAGGTATCAAGCCGTTTGACAGCTGATGCTGGCTGTCAAACCGGCTTTTACGCAAAACAGGCGGGAGGCAGCAAACAGCTGCGACCGACGAAATCGCCTGCCACCGGAAGTCCTCTAAAGGCATTACTTTTTGTCTCAGACTAATAACACATAAGGGTCGAACCAAACCTGATGGGCCCAGCCAAGCCACACGCTCTGAGAAAAATGAAAATCAGCATTAATCCGTAGACGGCGACAGCTAAGATGCATGAACTTCCAGCAACATTCGAGACCGCAAAAAAAAATAAATGCTGAACTTTGTGTTGTTTCTCACAACAGCCCGTGAGGGATTAAAACATCTCCTCTGAAATAACCTGGAGGCTTTGTGATCTATGAACCAAAGCCTGGGTCTTGTTATTCCAAGCAAAAAACGTATTTCCCAAACCAGTTCAAAGACATTACTGACCCTTTTTCAATTAGCTTCTCCCGGTCTACCCTGCTCAGACCATTTTTCAACCAGCAGTGTGTAACCAAAAAACCAGACCAGATCTTTGAATAATGTACTGTGGGGTATACTTCAAAAAAAAAAAGGGGGGGGAGGCCAGACCAGGTCAAGAAACTAACAAGGTATGTTTCCAAGGAAAAGTAGTTCATTGAGTAGAAAATTAATTAAAACCAGACAAGCCGTCACCTTTTGGGCCCCTGTTTTGAAGATATTTCCTTAGTAGATTCTTCAGTCCCTGCAAACGACAGCAGAGCTTTTAAGATACTGGAGAAAGATTTTTAAAAAAATATTCAGGAAGGTATCCAGAGATGTATCTGCCTTGAAAGTAGCTCCTGTTGAGTTAAGTTATGATGCGAGTATGACTTGTGATTCTACAACCACTGTTAGGATTATCAACTCCAATGCGAGCGTGACTTGTGATTCTACAGCTAGTGACACTATTCAGCACCATCGTAACGCTGGACAGTTACCAAACAGGGCATTTTGACCTCTACAGTAGTGGCCAGAATTGTGGAAACCTTTTGGGAAAAGTGTACAGTAGAAATGCCACCTTTGGTTAGGTTTCCACCCATTTTTCTACTAATTTCTTTATAACTGTAGCCTTGTTCATTAATAATACTATTTTACATAGCTTTCTGGGCAACCAGTGAACTCTTTGCACCATTCCTTTAATTTTATTACGTTTTACAAGCTCACTCAATGAAAGAACACCAAAAAAACCCCAACCAACTTGATAGCGATCACATAACACACTGACAAATGTCCTCCTCTCAGCTTCAATACAGGACATCGATAACTGAATCCTACTGTGATCTGATTGGCTCATTGCCAAAACAAGAGGACACCTGGTTGGCTCTCTAAACACTCATGCTCATTGGCTACAATCAAATGAAGGAAAGCTATCTGATATCAAGTTGTGCTCCCAGAGTCGGGATGGTATTATAAGTATGCATTAATAGTTATATAACTAAAATGTGTAATGTTAGAATTGAAATGTATGTATGTTAATGCATTCTATGTTTGAAAGATGTATAATAAATAAAAAAAATCATAAAAAAAAAAGTTGTGCTCCCTTTTTCTGGTTATTTGGCTATAATGTTTCATAGAATACAGATAATTGAACAAACTTTGTTGCATTACAGTCTTGATTAAATTGTCTTTCCATTGATATATAATTTTATGGTACTACTCCAAAACAAAGTGGTGTGATTAGCCATCAAACCTCAAACATACACTTTTCCCCAAAAGGTTTCCGCAATTTTGGCCACTACTGTATTTCTATCGAAGACGTCAAGCTGAACCTAGATCAAAAAGTCATCCATACATCTTCCTGTTGCTCCCATGTCCAAGACCTGAAACAGGACCAGATCCCACCACCACTTACCTCCTAAAGTGGCAGAGATGAGGATGTGGGTGCCGTATTTTTTGATGATGGTGTCGATGAACTGCTGTGTTGTGGGTCTCCTGCCCAGCAGGCGTATGCTTCTCTGAAACTCAGGCATCAAAGGGACGGGGTTCCGGAGTAGATCCCTCCGTTCAATGGCCGTATTCCTCACCTTCCAACGGGCAAACTCCCTGAACAACGAGACAGCAACACAAAACACGGGTGAGGCTCTGGAATCTGGAAGGGTCAACGAGAAGACGGTCAGTTGGGAAGTTGTGTGTCAGAGGGAACACCACAAAATCTTCCTCCCAGATGTTCCGAACTTCCATTTATGGGCTTTTTATGGGAAAAAAAGAAGAAAAAAGAGCGAAGGATGGGAGAAGCAGAAAGGAAAAGGAGGAGATGGAAAGAGGTTATATCAGTGGAAGGACAAGATCGGACATAAACAAGAGGGAAACCCCACATGACGTTCACGCTAATAACATCCCTGCAAAACCAACCCCCTGCATTTCATCAAGTCCCAAGAAAATTATCAAATTGATCAAACAAGGTCCACTCCTTTCCCAAAATTTAATGAACTTCCACAAAAAAAAAAAAAAAAGAGGAGAGTGGCTGGAATTTTTCCCCCCAACAATTTTTTCCCCTTGGGTAGGAACCCCCCTGATTGCTTCAAAGAATTTCCACCTTATATAATAATAATAATAATAATAATAATAATAATAATAATAATAATAATAATAATAATAATAATAATAATAATAATAATAATAATAATAATAATAATAGTAGTAGTAGTAGTAAAGTTGGAAGGGACCTTGGAGGTCATCTAGTCCAACCCCCTGCTCAGGAAGGAAACCCTCTACCATTTCGGACAAATGGCTGTCCAGTCTCTTCTTAAAAACTTCCAGTGTTGGAGCATTCACCGCTTCTGGAGGCAGGTTGTTCCACTGGTTAATTGTTCTCACTGTCAGGAAGTTTCTCCTTAGTTCTAGGTTGCTTCTCTCCTTGATTAGTTTCCGTCCGTTGCTCCTTGTCCTGCCTTCAGGGGCTTTGGAGAATAGCTTGACTCCCTCTTCTTTGGGGCAGCCCCTGAGATATTGGAACACTGCTATCATGTCCCCCCTCGTCCTTCTCTTCGTTAAACTAGACATACCCAATTCCAGCAGCCGTTCCTTATATGTTTTAGCCTCCAGTCCCCTAATCATCTTTGTTGCTCTTCTCTGCACTCTTTCTAGCGTCTCAACATCTTTTTTTACATTTTACAATAAACTTGAGACATGGGAAGTTGAACTATATATCTCCGGTTTCCAAGATTCTGTAACTTAACCCCTTTTTGGCTGTCAACAAACCTAGCTAACAAGACAGCGTGAATCTAAGCTTCTGCTGTGGAGCAGCTGCTAGAGGGTTGCTACAAATGTTCTTCCTCTCTGGAGGAAGAAACCGTTTCCTGTTCCTCTTTGAACGCTCATTCCCAGGGGACAAAATTCAAATTTATTTTATCAGAGCTTTCAAGCTCGCTTTATTCCCTGGAAGATTGCAGGAGGGTGTGTGTGTGTGTGTGTGTTTTTCTCCTTTGCTTTTTGAGCAAACCCACGCTCTTCCCCACTCTTGTCATCCAACTGCCTCCACTTTCCAGTTGGGAAAAAGGGATTCCTGAGGTTATCTCCCACCCCCCACCCCCACACTCCCCCTGCAGATGAACTGGGAGACTCGGTAGCCAACAAAGCTGCAGAATATTGGGGAAAAGGTTGAATGAAGGTCATGTAGGACAACTTACTCAGCCATTTCCACCCCCTAAAAAAAAAAAATGCACCCGGGCTTTCTGGCTAGCAAATTCTTTTCCATCAGATCAAAAGAAAAAGAGCCAGAGGGGAGAGACGGGGGGGGGGGGAACACACACGCAGAAAGTCATTTTGATGTGATTCTAGTACCAAGCCACGGGGGAAACGTTTGGCATCCATAGGAAAAAGGAAATTGTCCTGCCTTTGAAATAGAGCAAAAGGCGATAAATCTCTATTTCACCCAAAGGCAGACTTGACTAATGAGCACAAGGCAGAGGAAATACAGATGATTCCCCCCCCAAAAATAAAAATAAAGGAAGGAGTCACCCGGAGGCCATCTGGATGCTTGTTAGCACTAGGCAGAGTAGTGGGAAACTGCTGAGAAGATTCAAACCACGGGGCAAGGAATCCGTAAGGGAGACCTTCTGGGTATTGATCTCCTTCTAACCATCCTCTCCAACTCAAAGGTGCTTATTTAGGAGGCCACTGGACCTTCTTGCTTTTCTTTGAAGATGTTTCACTTCTCCAAGAAGCTTCTTCAGCTCTGACTGGATAGTGGGTGAATGGAAGGATTTATGAAGAAAAACAAGAAAGTCCAGTTGCCTCTTGAAAAAGCACCTTTGGGACAACCATGACCTGGATGATGGAGAACCTCCATAGACATCTTCTCCAAACCACCACGGAAGCCAGAGGGAAGAAGGGAACAAGCTTAGGAAAGGAAGAGAAAAGAACACCCCAAAGGTGCTTTTTTTTATTTCCCAAAAGGCAACTGGGCTTCGTTTTTCCTTGAAGATTTTTCGCTTCTCCTCCCAGAAACTCCTTCAGTTCTTCTTCAGTTCAGTTCAGAATTGAAGAAGGTTCTTGAAGGAGAAGCGAAACGTCTTCAATGAAAAACAAAGTCTGGTTGCCTTCTGGGGAGGAAAAAATAAGCATCTTTGGGCCAATCATGACCTGGATGACTGAGAATCTCCACAGACAAGAGAACAGAATACGCAAGCGAAAAACTTCAGCCAGGTGCTCACCACCAACAAAGTCCTCTGGCACGCTCTGATGTTTTTCAGTTGTCCTTTCTCTTTCTTCTGGCTTATTACTCAAGGTCTCCCAAGGGACACCATCTGCTCTGTGCCACCCACCAGCTGATCTGTCAGCTGGTGCCCTTTTCCCATACAGGCTTGCGTCAACATTTTTCTATTCCCAGCTTTACTCCTTAGCTGCTGGGTCAGCTTCAGATCTGCTGCACTGAACATAGTCAATGGGGTGGGGTGGACTGGTTCAAATTGGTCTACAGAAGTCACCAGTAAAGACTATTTGTAGCCCAGAGTTGAAATGAGGGGTCCTTGATGCTCTTGAGTTTAGTAAGGACTCCTAACTAGCACTGATGATGTTGCCTAGTTTGGGTAATGAAACATCTGCAAGAAAACAACCAAGCTCAGAGAGTACCAAGGACCCCACAGTTCTCCTCCTCCTCCTCCTCCTCCTCCTCCTCCTCCTCCTCCTCCTCCTCCTCCTCTTCCTGGTAACCCCCAATCTCTTCTAGCACTGATGAAGTTACCTAGTTTGGGTAATGAAATGTCTGCAAGAAAAAAACTAAGCTCAGAGAGCACCAAGGACCCAACAGTCCTCCTCCTCCTCCTCCTCTTCCTGGTAACCCCCAATCTCTTCTAGCACTGATGAAGTTACCTAGTTTGGGTAATGAAACATCTGCAAGAAAAAAACCAAGCTGAGAGAGCACCAAGGACCCAACAGTCCTCCTCCTCCTCCTCCTCCTCCTCCTCCTCTTTGTAACCCCCATTCCCATCTAGCACTGATGATGTTACCTAGTTGGGTAATGAAACGTCTACAAGAAAACAACTAAGCTCAGAGAGCACCAAGGACCCCTCTACGGAAGTCATATCAGCAAGAAGGTGAAGAGGAATAAAGGCTTCCTTTTAAGGTGATGAAGACCACATTCAACCTTGTCTTCATTTCCCCTCCTTTTTTCCAGGCGGATCAGAAGGAAATGGCTTGCAAGTAACTTTTGGCAGAAGAAACGGTTGGAGAAATGGGTGGAATTCCCACAGGAGGCAGTGTGGGTTTCTTGCACTTTGCACGGGCTTTGGGGACCACTTCCTTGACTGCACACACTTTCATTCAGATGGCATCAACCAAGAAAGCTGCATAGCGATAGTCAATCAATCAATCAGAATAGAGCTGGAAGAGACCTTGGAGGTCTTCTAGTCCAACCCCCTGCTCAAGCAGGAGACCCTAGACCATTTCAGACAGATGTCTGTCCAGTCTCTTCTTAAAAACCTCTGGAGATGAAGCACCCACAACTTCTGAAGGCAAAGCTGTTCCACTGCTTAGTTGTCCTCACTGTTAGGACGTCTAAATGAAAAATCCTCAGGATGAGGCAGAGGGACAAAAGCCTTTTTCACAGGAGAAGAAGACTTCAGAAAGTTCAAAAGTTTAAAAACCTTGACTAGCAGCTCTCTCTATTTCAACGTTTTGTTGAATACCCTTTTTTTCTCTCTTTCCCCTCTTAGCTGACAGGCAGGTAACTCTGTTCAGAGCTGCCTACAGAAGATCCTTCAAGATTCAAATGGCAGCGACATTACCAAAAAAACTAGTCATGCACAAGAAAGAAAAACAAAAAACTGTCTATTTTGGAATCAGTGGCAGATTCTGCACAGTTTCAAAACGTTGAGCGGAAGCATTTGATTTCTGTTGAGTAATGGGAAGCCACCTTGTCTCTCGGAGAAGAACAGGGTAAAGAACCCCCTACAGCAAGATAATAAAATAAACAATAAACAAATATGTTGCCATCAATGTGCAGCTGTCTATTTTGACATGTTGAGAAGCTCAAAACCCACTTCTACTGTGGAGGCACTTCTCAAAGAGCTATGCTTAACCGCGCATAAGAAACAGAGGAAGTAAACGGGCGAGAGATAAAACTTTAAGAGGAGCTGTGATGGCACAAGTATTAATGGTGATGTTTAGGATGCAAGGTCAATGCAGAGGTTTGCTTCCATTTTGCTTCTATCAACTAAAATACCTGACAGGGAGGAGGAGGAGGAGGAGGAGGAGGAGGAGGAGGAGGAAGAAGAAGAAGAAGAAGAAGAAGAAGAAGAAGAAGAAGAAGAAGAAGAAGAAGAAGAAGAAGAAGAAGAAGAAGAAGAAGAAGAAGAAGAGGAGGAGGAGGAGGAGGAGGAGGAGGAGGAGGAGGAGGAGGACTGTGGGATTCTTGATGCTCTGTGAGCTGGGTGGTTTTCTTACAGACGTTTCATTACCCAACTAGCTAACATCATCAGTGCTAGAAAGGTGTGGGGTTTGCAAAGAAAAGGAGGAGGAGGAAGAGGAAGAGAGGAGGAGGAGGAGGAGGAGGAGGTGGTGGTGGTGGAGGAGGAGACGATCAAGGAGTTCCTCATCAGTGT